ATATTTTTTTTTTTTTTTGTAGAGATGAGGTTTCACCATGTTGCTCAGGCTGGTCTCAAACTGTTGGGCTCAAGCAATCTGCCTGTCTTGGCTCCTCAAAAGTGTTAGCATTGTAGGCATGAGCCACTGAGTCTGGCTCATGTTTTTGTTAATTTGTGAGAGTTAAATATTTATCACAACTTTGTTCTAGTTTGTGATTTACCTATAAATTTGTTTCAATTTAACAATGTTTTGTCATGTTAAGTAATTATACTTATACTAATGAAATAGTCATATTTCATTATTTTTCACTGTGCAGTCTTCCGTGTGATTGATTTTCTATCACGGTCTCTATAAAGGGTTCTGTTCTTCTCTTTGGTGTTGTTTACTTCACCATGAAAAGGCCTGTTTCAGACATATTTAGGGCATGTCTGCCAGTATGCTTTTTATTAGATCTGGATTTCTTATTTTTTTTGAGACAGAGTCTTGCTCTGTTGCCCAGGCTGGAGTGCAGTGGCTTGATCTCAGCTCACTGCAAACTTCGCCTCCTGGGTTAAAGTAATTCTTCTGTCTCAGCCTCCTGAGTAGCTGGGACTACAGGCATGCGCCACCACACCTGGCTATTTTTAGTAGAGATGGGGTTTCACCATATTGGCCAGGCTGGCCTCAAACTCCTGACCTTGTGATCTGCCCACCTCGGCCTCCCAAAGTGCTGGGGTTACAGGCATGAGCCATCACGCTGGGCCTAGATCTGGATTTCTTAAGTGGAGTCTGAGTTTCTTGGCTTGGGGTTTCATTTTACTTCAGTTTCTGAAGATTTGAAGTAAACCTTCGTACTTTTTCATGACATGAATCCCTCAGGGAGTGTGTTTTATACATTTATGTTTTCCATTGTTGGGTGCATATATATTTATGATTGTTGTATCCTGTTGCTGAATTGATCCCTTTATCATTATATAATGTTTTTCTTTGTTTCTTTATAGTTTTTTATTTAAAGTTTTTTTGTTTTTTTTTTTTTTTTCCCCTGACATAAGGATTATAATCCCTGCTGTTTTTTGGCTTCCCTTTGGGTAGAATATATTTTTCTTTCTTTTCTTTTTTTTTTGAGATGGAGTCTTGCTTTGTCGCTTAGGCTGAAGTGCAGTGGTGTGATCTCAACTCACTGCAACCTCTGCCTCTGGGTTCAAGTGATTCTCCTGCCTCAGCCTCCCTGGTAGCTGAAATTACAGGCACATGCCACCATGCCCGGCTAATTTTTGTGCTGTTAGTAGAGATGGGGTTCCACCATGCTAGCCAGGCTGGTCTCGAATGCCTACCTCAAGTGATCTGCTCACCTTGGCCTCCCAAAGCATTGGATTACAGGTGTGAGCCACCATGCTCAGCCCTAAAATATCTTTTTCCATCCCATCTCTTTCATTCTGAGTTTCTTACAGGTGAATTAAGTCTCTTGTAGGCAGCACATGATTGGGTGCTCCTTTCTATCTATTCCTTCACCCCATGTTTTTTGATTGGAGAATGTCATTCATGTCCATTCAAGGTAATTGTTGACAGGTGAGGACTTACTATTGCCATTTTCCTGATTATTTTCCAGTTATTTTATGTATTCTTTTTGTTTCTCCCTCTTTTACTGTTTTTCTTAGTGCTTAAATGATTTCTTCTAGTAGTATGTTTTGATTTCTTCCTTTTAAAACAAGCTTTATGTTGGGATGCTTCAAGAATGTGCATGTCAGCTGGGCGCGGTGGCTCATGCCTGTAATTCCAGCACTTTGGGAGGCTGAGGCAGGTGGATCACGAGGTCAGGAGATCGAGACCATCCTGGCTAACACGGTGAAACTCCGTCTCTATTAAAAATACAAAAAAGTTAGCCAGGCGTGGTGGTGGGTGCCTGTAGTCCCAGCTACTCGGGAGGCTGAGACAGGAGAATGGCGTGAACCCAGGAGGCGGAGCTTGCAGTGAGCCGAGATCGCGCCACTGCACTCTAGCCTGGGCGACAGAGCGAGACTCTGCACCCCCCCCGGCAAAAAAAAGAATGTGCATGTCATCTTTGTGCAGGGGCCACGATCATCCCTGTATCATTCCAGTTCTAGTTTATGTGCTGCCAAAGCGAACACTGATTTCTGACTTCTTCCTTTTTATTTGTTGTGTATGTTATAGGCCTTTGCTTTGTGCTTGCCATGAGGCTTGCAAAATACATCTTATAGTGTTAAAAGATTATTTTAAGATGATAACCACTTAACTTTGATCACAGAAATAAAATATCTCTACACTCTTACTCCTACTTTGTATCAAACTTTTCATTTAGGTTATTATGGTTTTTTCTTTCTAGGATTTCTATTTGTGGTTCTAATTGTTTGTACTTCTTTGCCAAACTTCTAATTTTGTTTATAGAGTTTTTTCAAATTTCATTTAATTTTCTATCTGTATTTTCTTTTAGACTCCTGAACTTTTAGAGAATCATTGTGAATTCATTTTCAGGCATTTTATAGATTTCCTTTTCTTCTGGGTCTGTTACTGGAGCTTTATTATTTTTTTCTAGTAGTGTCATTTTTTTTTTTAAAACATAAACCTGTGTCCTATGTAGTCGCTTTTATATTTGAGGAGATAGCCATCCTTTCCAGCCTTTGCAGGTGTAATTTGGTTGTGGTAGACCTTTATTATTTAGTTTAGGAATTTTGGATGGGCTGGCTGGTTGAAACTCTGGACAGGCAGACTTTGCTGTGGGGTTCTCTAACTGGGCTGAGTTGCTTCCTGTTCTCTGAGGTTGAGTGATTTTTCTGAATGTGCTCCACAGTCTTGTAAGGGCACTGGCTGGACTCTGCCATCATGTGTGGCTGCTGGCTGGGCTCTTCAGTTGTCTCTGATCAGGCATGGTTGGATGTTGTTTTCCCTGGCTGGGTGGTAATGTTATTAGGAACAACAACATGCACCATGTTTCTTGCACATGATGCTGTTTGCTAGTTTCTATGGTGTGTCAAGTGTAGTAAGCCATTCTTGGCATTGCTATCAAGAAATACCTGAGACTGAGTAATTCATGAGGAAAAGAGGTTAAATTGGCTGAGAGTGCTGCAGGCTGTACGGGAAGCATGGTGCCAGCATGCTTCATGGCGTCATCTGCTTTGCTTCCGGGGAGGCCTCAGGAAGCATTACTCATGGTGAAAGGCAGAATGAAAGCAGGCAATTCACATCACAAAAGCAGGAGCAAGAGAGAGAGTGGGGTGGGATTGCTCCACACTTCTAAATGACCAGATCTTGCAAGAACTCACTCACTATTGTGAGGACAGCAGCAAGCCATGAGGGATCTGCCTCCATGACCCAAACACCTCTCACTAAGCCCTACTTCCAACATTAGGGATTATAATTCAACGTGAGATTTGGGTGGGGACAAATATCCTAACCATATCGGCACATCTGTTGGGGATGCAGAGCAAGCACCAAAACCCATGAACTGGTTCCTGTGAGCCCCTTCTCCGCTGTTCTTTGACCCAACTGACCCCTGGTGTCCAGCCATGCCGGCATTCCCAACATCTCAAGTGGGACGAGATAGGAGCAACCTACCTGTGAAGCATCCCAGAATGGTGGAGAAGCTGAATGCTCGCTTCCAACTCATCCCTTCTACTGCAAAAACCATGGGTCCAGGAGAACTCTCAGCATATGGTGTAGGGAGGGGCAGTGTAGTCAGAGAGAACCATTCCTCTTACTGTTTCACCATGACTGTTTTTTTTTTTTTTTTTGGCTCTTCAGTATGAGGGGGCATCTCAGCCTCACTCCCAAGGTCTTGATATTAATGATAGAATTCTTGACTTTGAAGAGTTGCCAGCGGATTTCCGGTAGGTGAAGTAAGTAAAGACAGAAAACTTCTATTCCACAATCTTGCCGACCTCACTCTCCTGAAAGTGTTATTTGGTTCATTTCAGATTTGCTTCCTAAGGTTTTTCATTTTTTTGAGACAGAGTCTTGCTTTGTTGTCCAAGCTACAGTATAGTGGCATGATCCTAGCTCACTGCAACCTCCACCTCCTGGGTTCAAGCAATTCTCTTGCCTCAGCCTCCTGAGTAGCTGGGATTACAGGCACACACAACCACACCTGACTAATTTTTGTATTTTTAGTAGAGATGGGGTTTTACCATGTTTGTCTGGCTGGTCTTGAACTCCTGGCCTCAAGTGATCCAACTGCCTTGGCTTCCCAAAGTGTTAGGATTACAGGCATGAGCCACTGTGCCTGGACAGATATTCTTTTTCACATGGAACTATAGCAGACCCTGTAAAATTCTCACCTACATCCCCATGGCTCTTAGTTTTCTTGCTCAGCAGCCAGACTTTGAATTTTCTGTAGACCTGGCAAGCGGCATGTGCTGGCACTTTAATGCCTCCTGAGAGAAACCTTCAACCAGTGGCTAATGGGACTGAGTGGATATATTCCCAAGCTCCCTCATACCTCAGGTAGAAAAACACAGAAGTGTATATTCCTGGACACGTCCCAGAGTTCTGCGCATAAGATTAAATTCCAGTGGCCCACGGCAGTACCTTTCTTGGTGATGTGCGTTGAATTGGCTGTTTACCTTGCTTGTTTCGCTTCCCACTTCCCTACGCATGTCATTTGAAATCATCTTCTACATAAAATGTTTTCTCTTGAATCCTTATCAAGCATCTGTTTCTTGGGAAATTCAAACTTACCATTTTCCTTCCACATACCAAATATCATTTTCTCATACATTCCTCTGATTTTCTTATCTGTGGAAGAGTCACTTGCTAGTTGTGTGACTCTTAGGAAAACAAAGGACTTATTGTTTCTGAGTGTCCCTTTCAGTTTTTGCAAAACAGGAATTACTACTATTATTATTTTTCTGAGATGGAGTTTTACTCAGTCACCCAGGCTGAGTAAAACTCATGATCTCAGCTCACTGCATGATCTCAGCTCACTGCAACCTCCGCCTCCTGGGTTCAAGCGATTCTCCTGCTTCAACCTCCCAAGTAGCTGGGATTACAGGTGCCCACCACCACACCCAGCTAAGTTTTTTGTATTTGTAGTAGAGATGGGATTCCACCATGTTGGCCAGGCTGGTCTTGAACTCCTGACCTTGGGTGATCCACCCACCTGGGCCTCCCAAAGTGCTGGGATTGCAGGCGTGAGCCACTGTGCCTGGCCAGGAATGATTTTCTTTCCCCACTGCTACCTGATGCATCGCAGACCCTTATGAATCACTCTGTTTTACCCATTCTGTTGTCTCCTCTCTGTCTCTTTACAAGCAGCAGGAAAATGGGACCCGGCTGGTGACAGAATTCCTGCTGGTGGGATTCTCCAGCCTCCCACACCTGAAGACCACACTCTTCACCCTGTTCTTCCTCACCTACCTGGTCACCCTTGGTGGCAACGTCACCATTGTCACCATCATCCATACGGACAGGTTGCTCCACACTCCCATGTACCGCTTCCTGGCGGTGCTGTCCCTCTCAGAGACCTGCTACACGCTGGTCACCATCCCCAACATGCTGGCTCATCTGCTGATGGAGAGCCAGGCCATCTCCATCCCTGGCTGTCGGGCTCAGATGTTTTTCTTCCTGGGTCTGGGATGCAGTCAATGCTTCCTCCTTACCCTGATGGGTTATGATCGCTATGTGGCCATCTGCCACCCATTGTGCTACTCTATGATCATGAGACCCACGGTTTGCCTCTGCCTGGGAACCCTGGTTTTCTGCTCTGGGTTCCTGGTGGCCTTGATCGAGACCAGCATGATCTTCTCATCCCCCTTTTGCCGCGGAGACCGCGTGGAGCACTTCTTCTGCGACATTGCCCCGGTGCTGAAGCTCAGCTGCGCCGAGAGCACCCACAAGGCGCTGGGCATCTTTTTCCTGAGCGTCCTGGTGGTGCTGATCTCCTTCGTCCTCATCCTCCTCTCCTATGCCTTCATCGTGGCAGCCATCGTGAGGATTCCCTCCGCAGCTGGCCGGCGCAAGGCCTTTTCTACCTGCGCGGCCCACGTCACCGTGGTCGTGGTACATTTTGGCTGCGCCTCCATCGTCTACCTGCGTCCGGAGTCCGGGGCCAACCCCGACCAGGACCGCCTGGTGGCCGTGTTCTACACGGTGGTGACGCCACTGCTGAACCCTGTGGTATACACTCTGAGGAACAAGGAAGTGAGGGTGGCTCTGAGGAGGAGCCTGGCGCGGAGCCGCGGTGTTTTTAAATAAGAACCTGCTTGGCAGGGCACAGTGGCTCACGCCTGTAATCCCAGCACTTTGGGAGGCCGAGGCAGGTAGATTACCTGAGGTCAGGAGTTGGAGACGAACCTGGCGAATGTGGTGAAACGCCGTCTCTAATAAAAATACAAAAATTAGCCGGGCGTGATGATGTGCGCCTGTAATTCCAGCTACTGGGGAGGCTGAGGCAGGAGAATCGCTTGAACTTGGGAGGTGGAAGTTGCAGTGAGCTGAGATCGCGCCATTGCACTCCAGCCTGGGAGACAAGAGTGAAATTCAGTCTCAAAACAAAACAAAACAATAAACAAACAAACAAAAACCTGGTTTACGTTTCATGCTATTCTAGTTTTTTTTTCTTTTGGAGATAGGTTCTTGCTCTGTTGCCAAGGCTGGAGTGCCGTGGCACAATGATGGCTCACTGCAGCCTCCAACTCCTGGGCTTAAGTGATCCTCCCTCTTCAGCCTCCCACATGGTTGGGACTACAGGTGTTCACCACTGTGCCCGATTAATTTTGAAAATTCTAATTTTGTACAGATAGGGGCTCACTCTGTTGCCCAGGCTGATCTCAGACTCTTGGCCCCAAGTGAGCCTCCTCTCTTGGCTTCCCTAAATGCTGGGATTACAGATGTGAGCCACGGAGCCCAGCCACTGTAGGGTTTTCATTAGCATGTGTACCTCCACAGACTCAGTTGTCCCATCTAGTAAACAGGGTTCACTCCCATGCCTTAAATGAGATAGACTTTGTCAACTAATAGTGCCTGAGACTTAGCATAAGCTCAGGAATGGATGCTTTTTCTTTTGTCTCAATTCCTGGACTTGACTGCAATGCATGGTGGTCTGCAGTGTCTGATGTGCACCAGTGGAGGGTGCTATTAAGGCAGCTCCTTAAGGGTGGACTGTGGAAGGTTGTGTCTAGTAGCATTGATCTGGACTGACACTGTCCTCAGCATTCTTTTATTTTGTCACACTAATAAGTAGTTTTTTTTTTTTTAATCTTTTTCTTTCTTTCTTTCTTTTTTTTTTTTTTGTGAGACAGAGTCTTGCTTTGTTGCCCAGGCTGCAGTGCAGTGGCACAATCTTGGCTCACTGCAGGGTCCGCCTCCCAGGTTCAAGTGATTCTCCTGCCTCAGCCTCCTGAGTAGTGAGACTACAGGTGCGTGCCACCACACCCGACTAATTTTTGTATTTTTAGTAGAGAGGGGGTTTCACCATGTTGGCCAGGATCGTCTTGAACTCCTGATCTCATGATCTGCCATCTTGGCCTCCCAAAGTGCTGGAACTGCAGGCTTGAACCACTGTGCCTGGCCTATTTTATGTTTTCAAAAATCATATCAATCCTAATAGATGTAAAGTGGTGTCTCATTGTGCTTTAGTGGTTCACTTTTGTTTAATTAGATGCTGATGTTGGATTGAAATAATCCAAAGTATCTTTGACTACAATGGAATAAAATAAGAAATCAGTAACAGAACAAAACTTTATAAATATGCAGAAATGAAACAACACGCTCTTAACCAGGAGGTCAAAGAAGAAATTATGTTAGATTGGAAAGTACTTTGAGATGAATGAAAATGAAAACAAAGCATACTAAAACTTATGGGATGCAGCAAAAGCAGGGCCCAGAGGGCAATTCATAGCTGTGAATGCTTACATTGAAAAAGAAGAAAGATCTTCAATCAATAACCTACCTTTATACTTTGTGGAATTAGAAAAAGGAAAGTTTGCTGAACACCGATGATGAAGCTGACACCATAAAATTCTCCAGGAAAATATGATATGCGCAGTGCTTTATGTGCTGTGTTTTCTATTTGTCCCAAAAGGTCTACTTTGCTTGCTGTCTCGGGAGACCAACCTATATGGACCACACTGATGGGCTTGGCACCCTCTGGTTTTCTGGTTGGGTTTGGCCAATTGGAGGCACTGTCAGGGGATGGAGGTCAGAAGGAAAGAAAGGTCAGGGAGACTATAGAGATACCAGATGCCTGGTTGCTGTAGTTGGCTGCTGTCTTCACTAGGGGCCATAGGCCCTTCTACAAAGCCACTTTCTCTGGGCATCTGTAAGCATTCTCTTCCCTGCACCATCAGGCATTAGTAAGTGTTAACAGCTCCCCAGTGTTGCCAGCTCTGGGGTGCTGCACCAGCCCTTAACTTTGTGCACATCGTTACAAAGAGCCCCTTTGAAAAACTTCCCCCAAATTATCCAGAAGCAGTGTGTCTTCCACTTCCTGTTGAATCCAGTTGATACACTTACAAGTAGAATTGCCTAAGAAGAAAATAGGCCAAGCCTAAGGGAAACTCTCCCCATCAATACTCTTCTGATCATGCTGGGGAAACTGAGTCATCATCTCATATAACTCTAACTTTTCATGTAGACATCTGTGCCTTGCCTTTACAATGTTTCTCCTTGCATCTCTGTTTTCTATTTCTGCTGCTCATTCTGCATATTTAAACATATACATGATTATATGACTCTCACAAGGATACTATTTTGAAAATTCTAAACAGAATTTTTTTTTTTTTTTAAAGAGACAGGGTCTCACTCTGTCACCCAGGCTGGAGTGCAGTGATGCATTCATAGCTCGCTGCAGCTTCAAACACCTGGGTTGAAGGGCTCCTCCTGCTTCAACTTCCTGGGTAGTTAGTTGGGACTACAGGCACACAACACAACACTTGGCTAATTTTTTTAAAAAAGAGATGGCATCTCACTACATTGCCCAGGCTGATCTGGAACTCTTGGGCTCAAGTAATTCTCCTGCCTTGGCCTCCCAAAGCACTGGGATTACAGGGATGTGCCACTGCACCCAGCCTAAACAGATGTGTGTGTTGAAATCCTTGCCAGTTTCCCATAAATCACATTCCCTTGAAATGATTCTGTCATCATGGTCACATGGAAAGTGAGGGTAAAGTTTACTATAAGGATAAGGTGGGAGGAGAATGCCTTTCTACTACTAGAAGGAGAGAAGGTGATGCTAGAGGTTGGGGAAGCAAGTGGTCAGGCACTGGAGCCCTAAAATACAGAAGAGCAGACAGTACGGCAGGGAACCTCTAAGATGGCCCCCAATGATCCCACCTCCCAGTAGTCATGACTTCATATAATTCCCTCCTCTTGAGTAACTTGCTTCTGACCAGTAGAATATCAAAATGTTGAGTGGATGCCATTTCCATGATTGTATTACAAAGATCCTGGCATCTTTCTTGGCAGCAAAATCTCTCTCTTGCTGGCTTTGATGAAGCCAACAGCCTATTTGGAGAGGCAAGAAACTGAGTGTAGCCTACAGCCAACATCCAGTGAGGAAGTGGCCCTCAGTCCAACAGTTTTCAAGTAACTTAATTCATGCTAAAACCACAAAAGTAAACTAGAAAAAGGGTCCTTACCCACTTGAACCTTCAGATAAGACCGCAGCTCTGGCCAACTTTTTGTTTGCAGCCTGTGAGTAGCTGTGCCCCAACTAAGATGCCTGATCTATAAACACTTTGAGATAATAAACCTGTGTGGGTTTTTTTCTTTTTCTTTTTTTTTTGGAGTCTCACTCTCTGTCACTCATGCTAGAGTACAGTGGCATGATCACGGCTCACTGCAACCACCACCTCCTGGTTCAAGCAATTCTGCCTCAGCCTCCCGAGTAGCTGGGATTACAGGTGTGTGCCACCACATCCAGCTAATTTTTGTATTTTTAGTAAAGACGGGGTTTTATCAGGGGTTTCCACTTTTGTGTCTTCCTCATTTTCTCTTGCCGTTGCCATGTAAGAAGTGCCTTTTGCTTCCTGTCGTGATTCTGAGACCTCCCCAGCCATTGGAACTGTAAGTCCAATTAAACCTTTTTTTCTTCCCAGTCTCAGGTATGTCTTTATCAGTAGCATGAGAATGGACGAATACAGGTGGTTCCTCAAAAAGTTAAAAATGGATTTAGCATATGATTTAGCAATTCTACTTCTGGGTATAAATCCAAAAAACCTGAAAGCAAGCTCTTGAAGAGGTATTTGTACACCCATATTCAGAGCAACATTATTCACAATAGCCAAAAAAGTTGGAAGCAACTCAACTGCCCTTCAGTGGATGGATGAATAAATAAGACATGGTGTAGCACATACCACCATACAACGGAATATTATTCATTCTTTTTTTTTTTTTTTTTTAAAGACAGAGTCTCTCTGTCGCCCAGGCTGGAGTGCAGTGGCCGGATCTCAGCTCACTGCAAGCTCCGCCTCCCGGGTTTACGCCATTCTCCTGCCTCAGCTTCCCGAGTAGCTGGGACTACAGGCACCCGCCACCTCGCCCGGCTAGTTTTTTGCATTTTTTAGTAGAGACGGGGTTTCACCGTGTTAGCCAGGATGGTCTATCTCCTGACCTCGTGATCCGCCCGCCTCAGCCTCCCAAAGTGCTGAGATTACAGGCTTGAGCCACTGCGCCCGGCCATATTATTCATTCTTAAGAAGGAGGAAATTCTGACACGACATGGATGAGCCTGGAGGATAGTACGCTAAGTGAGATAAGCCAATAACAAAACAAGAAGTACTGTATAATTCTACTTCTATGAGGTACCCAGATAATTCTACTTCTATGAGGTACCCAGAGCATTCAAATTCATAGAGACAGAAAGTAGAACACGAGCTACCATGGCCTGAGGGAGATGAGAATGGGGAGTGAGTGTTTAATGGGTATGGAGTTTCACTTTCGCAAGATGGAAGAGTCCTGATAATGGGTGGTGGTCATGGTTACACAACAGTGTGAATGTATTTAATGCCACTGAGACTTAAAAATGACTCTACTGGTAGTGTTTATGTTACGTGTATTTTGCCACAACTAAAAATAGAAATTAAGTTAAAAGAGATACGCAATGAAAGGCAGCCAGTTAGCAACATTGAGTTGGCAAGATAAGAGTTTATTTCTCTTGTAGATATCTTGGTTCTGAAATATCTAAATCACCTTTCTAAACAGGCAGAACTAGATGAACTAGTACCACTGCATACAATGTACATGCACCTCCTTCT